CCCTTCTTGTGGTTGTACATGATATGGGGTTTCACTGGTGGGGTATTCATATGTGAATATAGGAAAGTGAAATCCAATTAATTCTACTTCATATACATCTTAGACTTAATTTTTGTGTTCAGTACTGGGAAGAAGTAAAGTTTATCTGTTTTGAAAATGTTTTTCTAATTCATTGCTTGCTGCATAGTATCATTTGTTGAAAAAATAAAAATAAAAGTTGTCCTGTCCCATTAAATTGCCCTGGGATTAATTAGCCATATATGTACATATTTCTGCACTTTCTATTTTGTTCCATTGATTTATATGTTTAGCCTTAAGTCAATTTCACACTGTCTTATTTAATGTAGCTTTACAGTAAGTATCAAAATCAGGTAGTATGAGTTATCTTCCCACCCTCCCCTTCCTCCTCCTTCTGGGTAAGGGGCACTGGAACATTACTGCAGAGAAACCTCATTCATTTCATCCTTCTACATCTTGTGAGAGTACATCTAATTCGATGAACCCAATTTGCATACAGAACTTTACTAAAAGCGAGCCATGGAAGGTAGTTTCCAGTTTTCCAGCCCTTCCAAAATGAAGCATAGTATTAAAGAGGTCAAGTGGGCAGTCCCTCACATGGGCATGCATGCCTTTGGCAGAGGTAGGGCTTATTTGGGAAAACTAGTGTAGATCACAATGTTGTTTAGATGGTACAATCAGAAAAAGGTTATTGACTATCCTTAAGGGAATGCTAACCAACTATTCTCCAATACAGGAAATACCTACCTGGTGATCAAAAATAAATATGCTGCTGAGTTAGAGTGCCCTCTCCCTTACAAAGATCTGGAGGCTCAAGAAGACATGCATTTCTTCTCTGGATTCCATGATTTCTGCTCTTTCTTTGCTTTTTCTATCACGATAGCTTTCTGACAACCTAAAAAGCAATTTGTCCATGAATGTGGCCTTCCTGAGTCACCTGTATCTGAGTCAATGTCTCTATCTTCTAAGTGCTAAATTTTACATTTAAATACACCTCTCGGGTGACACAAAATTACCTTGAAGGAGTTTAAGACACGCCATCTCAAAATATGCTGCACTGATGTATTATTTCAAGTTCTAATCACTTAAGAGCTGTAACTTCAGAAAGTGTCACTTGGTCTAAATTTCCCTCCATGCAGAAAGTCACAGAGATTCTCTTGGGAGGGACGTCCTTCACATACCAAGGCTAGAAAACAGCTCTGATCATCCGAGACTGGTAACTGGGGCCGCAATGAACTTGAACAAACAGCAGTGATCCTTACACCCCAGTAGCTTCTATATCTCCTCTTACATATCTCTTAGATAACATCCCTAGAGTTTACTACCCTGGTCCAAAAACCCATGTGTCTTGTCATTCCCTCACAGATATATTATTCTTTGCCTAGAAAGTATAAAAGTATTATACTTTGGTCATTTCTTCAGACTCTAGTCTCTTGTGAAGATCGCTATGAACATGTACAATTAATAAAGAATGCATTTCTCTTGGACTTGGGCTGTTTTGTTGTTGTTGTTGTTGTTTGAACCACAGATTGAACCCAGGGATGTTTAAGCACTGAGTCCTTTTTTTATATTTTACTTAAGAGACAGGGTCTCGCTGAGTTGCTTAGAGCCTCTCCAAATTGCTGACACCGGCTTTGAACTCATGATCCTCCTCCTCAACCTCCCAAACCACTGGGATTACAGGCATGTGCCACCACACTCAGCCTTGTCTCTGGTTAATCAGCTGTTTTACTAATTGGGCTCCTAGATTCAGCCAAAAAGCCCATATAAAAATAGAGCGGAAGGAGAGAATCTCTCTTCTCTATGACTCATAACTGGATTAGATGTGATACAGGATTAGATATAATGGCACTTTCCCACTTTTAATGGACTTTTGCTAATACCATTTAGAAAGAATCTTCTATTGTGGGTAAACCCTTGTCATTTCCAGTCAAGGAAACAGTATTTCTTCAAATTTAGATAATGTCATTTTTCAATTAAGCCTGAAAATTTGAGGAAGATCTGATTTTTCAAGAATATTGTCTACTACCTACTCCTTACATCATTTTGCATACTATCGAATATAACGGCAAACTGGTTTTTTTATTTTCAGTTTTGGGGTTTGAAACCATGGCTTTATACATGAGACACAAGCACCCCACCACTAAGCTACACCTCCAGCTC